TCTGGAAGGTTCCAAACACATAAAAACCACCAGAAAACATCGGTAGTCAGAGGGTGCTGCTAGAGAGATTTTTGGTGCTTAAAACATGTCAGTGTTTTGCGTTTGAACTATTAGGCGCCTTGAACTTTGTTGTGACTTTTCAACATGTGCACAAATATGTTTCAAACAAATTACTTACGTGCAGATTCAGATTTGGTCCTTCCACTTGTCTGAGGAGTCAAAGGATGCCACAAATCCTGGGCCGGTTCACTCAGATGTAACCATGTGCGATGCACTGAGAGACACAGACAGAGACAGACTCAAAATTCGCTCAGTATGCTTGGCTTTGTTGCTTTGTACTTTCGAAAATGAAGAATGCAACGTTTATGTGCAAAACCATTCCCCTTTTGTGATTTGCGCCAGTGTCTGCCAGTGCCTTTTGTTCAAAGACTGGAGCGAACGCCGTTTCACTTCCTGTCAGCTTGTGCATCATGGACATGTGCAGCAAAATCAATGCTTGGGAGTGCCATGTTTCCCACGATGGTGGACGAGTGCCGCCGTCCAGCATATGGAATCAGCTATCATGGAGCTCGTGCACCGAGTTGCAAAACCAGTTCTTCACGGCTGTATGGACGCGCTTGAGCAAGGAAGCTAACCCAAACATGATTTTGGGTACCCTCAGCCACTCCTTTCATCGTTCCGGATACTCCACGGTGGTTTACAACTTGGTGGATGCACAGTTCCTTCGCTGATTTTGATCATGCTTTTTGTGTGATTGCAGGATTATCAAGGGCAGAACGTCACTACTAGGAGCAAGGACGCTACTAGGGGCTCCTGGCCTTACTACTAGGAGCAAGGACGCTACTAGGGGCTCCTGGCCTTACTACTAGGAGCAAGGACGCTACTAAGGGTCCAGGGCTTTCATAATTTGAATGTATTGGTTTGCTTTTCCAAATCGCAGGAATGATCCTTCGCAATCTTTGCAAATCCTGCTCTACAAGCATGAGACACTTCCGGAATGGATCATCGTGCGGTTTCGGCGGATTCTCTATGTGGAGATCAAGGTTCGAACCTTAGCCTTGGGGCGTCCTTCAGTGGAGTTTACAGTGTCTATGATTGCAAGCGGGTTTGAGCGGGTGGATCTTCCGTCCATTCCGCTGGAAGGCGTTCAGCATTCGGATCATATTGCTCTCCTTTTGGACAAAGTCCTGATCAAAATGAGATGCATGGGGAAATGGTCCGAAAAGGAGCTGATGCAAACCTGTCATTTGTGGAAATGTGAGAGCCTCCTGATCTCTTCGCACAAGCAATATGTTGTGGCAAGCTTGATGAAGCCTCGTGGCGATGTGAACATCATCAAACCCTTTCGAGACCGCCGGGACCATGAGATTGACCAGAATGAAGATAGGGCTGATGAAGCTGGTCATTTAGTGCAGCGACGTCGTCTTGAATGAAACACGAGCTTTTCGGCGATGCTCAATGATGCCACCAAGCCAGGGTCTCCCACAAGGAAAGAGTGTGTGAAACACTCTGCGGACGTTCCTTGTGCACTTTCGAAGATCTATTTGTGGCGGAATGCGGGGAAAAGGTTGCACAACGAACTCAGTTACAATATGTCACGCATTACAAAGAAATGTTCCGTTTGCGATTGCTTTGGAAATCTCTGGAACCTATTTGCTGAGATTTGCTGAGATAACACCTTGTTGAAATGTCGGCAGATTGCAGATGCAGTGAACCTGCTGCATTTCCTAGTAAGTAAAACCAGCATAAACCAGCCATGCAATTGTCCTGAGCCCCCTTCAGGTCACTGTGCATGATGATCCAGCGACTTGTACGATCTCGCCCCTCGGAAAGTTCGGTCGGACGTCGCGCGGGTTCGTTCGGACGTGTTGCTTCGCGCGGAAGGTGCATGCGGAAAGGGTGGAAGCTTGGTGTTGGCATGTGTTGGCGGATGTTGGCGGTGTGGGTGTAGTCGGGGGGAAGGCTCAAGGCTCAAGGAGACCATAGGAGACCCCTTTTTGACGAACATGACGAACAAAATAACCAGCCTATATGGGCTCAGGAAGCATCAGGAGGTGGAGCGGGCCCTTAGCAACTGTCGTTCATCCTTTGAAGCCCCTTTTTCAGTAGGAACAAAGAACAATCGGCAACAGTGGCTCAATTAACCACAGTGTTCCTGTGACAGGAAAACACCATGTCAGAAAAAGAGAAAACATACCCAAAACATACCCCATAAAGACTTCCTTAAAAAGACGATCCTTGTCCCTTATAAAATGCCAAATCCAGCACTCACTTTATAAAAAGCATAGCTGGTATGTTCCAAAAGACCGGAAACATAGCAATCAAACAGTATGGACATGGAAACACATTTTATAAAAAGGTTGGTTTGCAAAAAGACTTTATAGATAACCATTGAGGATTTTTAACATAGAAAAGGCTCGTTGTTGGTTACTCATTTTATAAACAAACAATACTTTCAGAGAATGAAACCATGCTCAGATGGAAACTCATTTTATCAAGTCTACCTTTTTAGATGTTATTTATGTTCCTTTGGATGTCCATTGATAGACTTGGACACTGAAAGTGATGATTTAGTGATGTCACCTCAATAGTTTTTGACTCGATCACTCGGTTTTCGTTGAGTCGGAGCGGTGGACCTAAACCGGAGTGACCGAGTCTGAAACCCAGGAACGGGACGGTCGGCACTGGTAACTCGCATCAGGGAGAAATTGCTCGGGGAAACCTCACCACGACATACCACGACCCTTCAAATCACATCAAATCACCATGGACCATGACTCGACAAATCCGATGAAATCCGAAAACCGATGGGACCCCGGTGACTTCCCCGGATAATCGACGGGTTTCGTTTCCCGGTGATTCCCCGGTGACTTTTCCGGTGGCTCGGAAACATATGGAAACATCAACTCCAGCTCCACTCCCAGGCTCCCCAATGAAAAAACTATTCATTTATATATGACATATGAAAGGAGAAGAGCATTTCAAACCATTCCGCAGTGAGGGTTACGGTTCTGCGTTTTCTGAGCTTGTATGCGTTTGTCAATTGGACTGCCAATTCACTGACCTACGGGCTAAGGAAATTATAGATAATGTCGAAACATGTCGAAACCCTTTCCTGGAGGGTGTGGCCAGGGGTATTGGAGATAGTTTCATTTTGAAATGGTCGCTCCTGTCGAAGCCCTTCAGCTAGCGTCGGCAGGGTATGGCAGGGTTCTGAAAGGGTCGGGATTTGCTAGTCACGTCATCTCATGTCATCTCAAATGCTTTGAACGCATTCCTTTGTCATTCCACTTTGTGAATTTATAAATCTGGACACCCGGATATTGGCAACTAGTTGGGGTAGGGTAGGGTCTGGTGCCTTGCGCCAATTCCTGGCAGTCTTTGGGCTACGGTACGATGCCATGTTATGCATGGAGACTGGGTACGACAATGCAAATGGTTCCTTGTTGGCCGTGGAGGGACGGATGTCCGAAATGCGCGTTTACGTTTGTCGCATCCCAATTATGATGAGGATGACAAGGCTGTCTAGACTCTAGACCTGTGGTGTCCTAGCGGTCATGCTGCAGCGAAGGTAAGTAGCCGAGGCCAAGCTGAGAGCAGCTTGAGCGTTTTAGTGGCACGTTTTTGCTATTGGCATGGGCGCATGCCCTGAAAAGCGTGTTCAGATGTGTTCAGCATCTAGCTTCGAACCACCGTAATCCCCGGACTAGAAGCTGGTCTCCAAACACAAGTGTTGTGACTAACGGGTAGGCCGGCGTCTAGGACTCTAGGGTCCAGACTCATGACTTGGGTTTCCACAAACTTCCTCTGCAACAGTTGCTAGGAGCAAATGTCAGGTTTGCTATGGCATCTCTATTATGTGAGCTTGGCAATACAATTGCATAAGAATACCACCAAAAATGATCATATGAACCTTTGTAAGTCAAAGGATGACTTGGACAATTCAGGTGCCCCGCCTATAGATTGTTCTAGTGACAGCATAGGGCATCGCAAAGGCTGGTGGAGCTACAGCGTAGCGGCGGGGCAGCTCGCAGAGTGCTGTTAATGCAGATAGTGCAGCGAATTGGCTGTATGCTTGCTGCAGCTAATGATATGTTGTTGGGGCCGAGCTTGACAGAGAGCGAACTTGGAAGCCTAGTGCAGCTGCCTTGTGATTGCTGCATCCTCATTCTCAGTTCAAAAATCATCAGAACCTCTGGTTGATTGAGGACCCCCAAGTTGCAGCAGCAACGGCAGCGGAGTCAGCATGTGCAGACGGGAAGAAGGAGATAGGGTATCTTTCCTTTTGTCGTGAATCATCTTACATCAGTTACATCAGCCATTCTCTGCCTATTTTCAATACATGTTAATACCTTGTGATTGCTTTGTCTTCAAATGTCCTCCTTCTCAGTTCAGAAACCACTGATTGACGGAGGATCTCGAACATTGGATTTCAAGATATTTCAAGATTAGATCTCAATTTTTTGTAAGGACCCCCAGCTACAGTGGAGTCACCAGCTGGTGCAGATGCGAGGAAGGAGACTTAAAGCAACTTTTTCCCATGTCTTGCCTTTGGTATCCTTTTGTTAGATGGGAAGCAGGAGACTGGTGTGAAGCCTCACCACATCTCACCACGTTTCAGCCTGCAGCTGTACATTGGCCATCGTTGACCTATTGATGCCTATTGTAATACTGTTGTTAATTCATTGCCATCAAGAACCTTTGCTGCCACGCGGCTGGGAACATAAACCTGATGCTAATACCATCCGTTGAGCCTTCCTGCTGTCAGGAGATTGCAATCGAACGTTTCTTTGGGCAGGTCAAGTCCCCGTACAGAGGCCAAGCGAGCGTCAAGGACATGATTTACGGAACAACCCTTGTCCACCTGAAGCAAAAAAAAGCTTGAAAATTCCAAGGTGCTCAAGCAAGACATGTCCCCAGACAGACAGACACCAGTCCCTACATCAGAGATCAAGGACATCAGCAAAAAGGCTTTGGCAGCGACTCTCCACTTCCACAGCATGTTGAAAGTAGACGATTCCCCAGAAAAGACTTACCACGACCTGCGTTCATGGTGGCAATCTGATGGCGCCCACTTTTTTCAAACAGATTCATCGCAAAATGGGGATGAAGATGATGAGGACTGGCTAGATTTGGATGTAGCGGAACTGGAAGACCCCAACTTGGAGCCTGAGCCTCGCTGTGAGGGAGGCCCCGCAGAGGAATCAAGCGAAGATTCTTGCGAGGCCGGGGACTGAATAATGCTCAGAAAAAGCTGGCCTTGGTTGGCTGATGTTGGCTGTTAGCTAAGACCACTTGGTTCACTTGATGCTGATAGAGCCTCAGATAGCCTCAACAACCTTGCATGCATCAACAACCTTAGACAGCCTTATTTGTTGACGTGCTTTATGTTTGGAGGCCCAGGAGGCTCTACTATCGGTGGAAGACCGTGCCAAAGTCCGCGAAGAGATTGTTGATCTTCAGAATCCTTCGCGCGCAGAGGATGCCACCGATGCCACAGATGTGATCACCGCGTCTGCACCGAAAGAGCCGCAGCAGCCTGCCTCGGACCGCAGCATAGAGACCTTGCAGGATATCTTGGAGCTGGCGCTCGCAAAAGGCGCTTCGTGTTTCAAGGAGCGCACCGAGGCAGCGTGCCTCCAGACACTTGGTCATCTCCTTTTTCACGCGCTTCACCTTCCTTCTCATTCTTTCGTAATGCTTCTGCTATTATATAGGTCTCCTTCCTAAACCCTTCTTATAAGAGAACGCGTAATGAAATGCCACAATTTTCCATCAAGCATAGGGAAACAGGCGAACAGAGCCCCCAACTTTGACAATGCGTGGTGATGCTCCAAATATGTCCAAAGTGATGCTCCAAATATGTCCTGCTGAGGAGGGTCAAGATACTTGTCCCATACATGCGGGCCTTCATGAGAAAGGTGAGAGAGGCTGAGGGGATTCTATCGCTTGCAAACATTTATCACAATAGCGCATCCAAGCCGCCCATGAATGACTGGAATTCCGTTCAACATCAGCTACATCTCGCACGGGTGGCATCAGATATGGGTGGGCAGAGGACTTCCAGGTTGACCGCATGGGCGAACTTGCAGGGCAAGCTCTCTACTGAACATTGCGGCGGGGGCAAACATGACCAGCCGGGAGCTGGCGGTCCTTTACGCCCAGTGGAAGCTTTTCATCCTTTGTGTGGCTTAATGTATATTTGCATGTTTTTGATATTTTTTTATAGTTTTTGAGGCTGGAGTCAGTATTTAAACCACCACTGCGCAACGTGGGATGTCTCAAGATGATCGAACAATTTGCCGGTTCTTGAAGCTCTTGCCATTCCGAGGCACCGAGAAGCTTCAGGTCTTGGCTTCCAAGATCAGTGACAAGAACACGGAGATTGTTCCCGCAGTGGTTATGTCTGTCTACCGTGGATCTGTGTGCAGGAAGGGCAAGTCCGCCGGCAGAGTGAAAATCTCGAAGCTGATGCCAACAGAGCTGCCAAGTGCATTGGCAGCAAAGGTTCATGTTGTTGCTCTCAAGTGTGTTGAAGGCTTAGCTTACGAAGCGTCACCCTTGAGCACGGTGCACATGCTGGATCCGGTAGTGGCAGTTTTGGGGGAGCTCGATTGTGTTTCGTTCAGGACAGGCTCTGTCTCGTTGCGGGTGACGCTGAGCGATGGATCACAGAAGGCCCTCAAGTCCTTGACAGCCTCCAAGAAAAGGATGGATGTGGTTGCAAAGCCACCCGTTGAGGAAACAAAGGTGCCCAAGGAGTTCCTGAGTGCTTGTGATCTGAGCCGCCCAAACGCGGCGCCACTGATCTTGAAGTTCATGCAGTCTTTGCCTGGCCGCTATGCAGCGTGCAAACAGCGCCTGGTGGATTCGAATGGCATGGTGAAAGTTGGAGGCCCACGTTGGGGGGGTGTTGTGGAGTTTGATGGAGTATGATGGAGTTATGTTCCATTACTATTATTAGCCAGATGGATTTGTGGTTGATGATGTGTTTCTTGCCCTGATCCATCTCAAGGAGTCCAGTGCAGCTACGATAACCTGGCTGCCAGAACGAGCTCCTGGTTTCTGAAGAGCTTCGCGGACAAGAAGGGCCTTGCGTTCGGAGAGGCCGTGATCGAGCGCCTCCACCAGCTGCTCCCGCCATCACTTGCGAGTTGCAAAGAGTTCTTGAACTTGGTTCGGGTGAGTGCGCCAGAAGTGCTGCCTCTCTAGGGGTAGTTGCCGGGAATCTCAGCAACTGGATGAAAAAGAACGGTGCCATATGGGTTCTTGAGACAGACAATGAATTCATGTGGACCAAAAGAGAAACAGCTTGATTGATTTTACTTTTCAGTACGAAGACAAACTGTGAAAACATGGCCGGTCGATCCTTTAGGTCTGAGAAATATTCAACAAGTTGCCGTTTGATCCTTCAATGTCGGGGCATGGAAGTGCGAGGGGGGTGGGTTTGAAATATTTCATGTTGACGGGGTCCCCCCACCTAGAGGGTGTCCATATGTCACCTGATTTTTTTCAGTTTGGGAGACTTCTTTCTTGCTTTTGGAAGTAGGAACTGGGGGAGATGATGTGGTTTGGGAAAATATCTCGGTGATTGAGTATGATTGCATATTTGGCCTTCCAAGCTAGCAGGTGGCTTGTCATTTCCAGCATGTTTGAAGCCGCTATTGCAAACAAAGGACGCCTGGTAGTTCAAGCAGGTGGGCATTGCACAATGAAGGAACCAGTTTTTCTCAAGTCACTTGTCATTTTGACGTTGTGCGGCACTGCCATGTTTGGGCGACTGCCTCAGTTGTGCGCCAAGTATAGCCACTCTTGGTTGACCATGGAAGGTTGCTCAAAGTTGGGGTTGTTGGGTGATTGCAACCACCACCCAAATTTGTGACATTCCACAAACCACCCAATCCCTACCAGGTTTACAGGCTGCAGCAACCCACTGCTTTTTGGAGGACGTCACAGACGTCACACTTCCTTAAGTAGGATCTTCCAATCCCATCCTCCTGTCCGAACCTTTCGGATGTCTTTATTGCGCCGTGCGATCTTGAGTTGCCACTCTGATATAACATGATCGACTCCCCCCTGTCCTCGGGTCCACCTGTTCACCCGGTCACAAGACGCGAACGGGTCAACCTCCCGTGATCTCTTCGAACGAGGTCTCAACTCCTTTGGCCTCGCTGCCACTTGTTTGCACGAAGAAGTTCGTCGGCTGCTTCGGGGTGTTTCGCAGTGCGGTGCGCTGACTCGAGTGATGACTGATTCTATACTGACTGTAATATTATGTGTTTTTTCTTCAAATTGACTGCACAAGCAACTTCAAGCAACCCTGGGTCTCAATGTCAAGGTGCCTGAAGCGGTACTTGAATTGTAACCTCCATGCAAGCAACACTTCTGTATGGGGCTTTTTCCTACCTTTGTTAGTCAAGACTTGGGAAGAGGTCACCAAGGAGTGAGGTATCCAATTCACTTGAAAGCACACTTCAAACAGGCTCTCTTCTACAAGCTTTGCCGCTTTGCAGCGACCAATTGTCACCTCCATCCAACAATTGACCAGTGCCCTACCCTGCACAGCTCTAGTGTCCACATGAGCATGGCTTCAACAAGCCTTTTTTACTCGGCGGGTGCTGGATAATCTTTGGGGGGTCGAACGAGAAGAGCAAAGTCAAACACGTTGCCATTTTTGCACAGTCATTTCGGAGCAATGGAAAGCAGGTTCATCCTGTTTCCGAATACGTTGTTGGGAGCCTGACAAAGTGATGTTTGACAAAATCATGGGTCAAAAACACACAGGTTCACCTGGACACCTTTCCCAAACAATCCATAAGACTGGAAGATTTCACTTTACACTAGACTCAACCTTTAATTCGAATATTGAAAGATCATAAATCACCCACGTTGTGTTCACGTGCACACTGGGAAGGGAAGGGCCCGTCGTACGAGACACTGGAGCGGAGAATAGGATCAATGAAGAAGGAAGTAGATATCACAGCAGAATTCAGTACTTGAGGGTGAGGATGGTTGACCACTTCTCCAGTCCCAACTGTTGTTCTGTTGGGCCATTTTGATCCTTTCAAGGCCAAGCTTGGTGCAATCCTCACATCAGCCCAAGCTGCTTCTTTTTGTCGCTTCTCGTCTCGCGATCGCTCCCCACTGTACGAGGTGCATCGGCTTAGTGGCCGGTGCCGTGGTCTATCCCTTGACCTCCAATGGCATGCGCCGCTGGCGTTGCTTGGAGAGAAGGGGAGGAGGCCTGGGTGCGTGGGTGCTTGAAATCACGCAAGTGAGTCATGTGGGTGGAGCGAAAACGGAAGGACTCTATGGAGTTCAGACAGAGAGAGAGAGAGTGAAAGTATTCCTTTAGCAAGGAAAATGAAACAACCATATCAGCTGGTACTCTGGGGAATTGTGAAGATGGGTTTGCATAGAGGCGGAGAAGTTCCTCCAAAGCAGTCAACTGAGTCCTTTTGATGTACTCGGTGTCTCCCCCAGTCCCACACACGTCCGTGCAGCATGATCAGTGGTTGCGGAGTGGTGGGACTCAGAGTGCGTGGGAAACGGCATCAACCTCCATGTCGAGAAAGATGACGTGGGGCTATACCCCCTTTTGGTCCAATCCTTTGATGTCGTTTTCAGATGACGGACTCACCACTGTCCTGTACCTATCGAAGCAGCGTCCAGTGTCGACGTCCGATCCACCTCCAAGGCTTGGATGACCCGGTGGACGCGGTTTCTGGGCGCCACTGGTTTCGGAGTGATCAAAAGAAATTGGCCAAACACCCAGACACGACTTTGTTTGGGACTGCCCTGTTTACCGAGAAACGGCCAGGGGTGGTTGAAAAAACGGGGGTCCATGTAGGCACAATATATGGAAGTCTTATGGAGTCTCTGGGAAAGAGAAACACCATGTTTCAGGTGCCAAGATGTACCAGGTGCTTCTTGAGGGAGTCGCTTCTCCAGCGATGAGGGCCAAGGTTGCATCAGAAAGTGCAACTGGGTGCCAGGCAGAATGGGATCCCTCCCTACTGGACTCCCGTTGCAAGCGAAACGGGCCTCGCCGCAGCTGCCAGAGACGGAGTGGAGTTGGGGATCTGGGCGCATGCTGCACATGCTCATGATGGAGTCAAAAAGGATCTAGAGAAACACACGACATGTCAATTTCCTCGGTGTTTAATTCACAAGACAGCATGTTCTTGGAATCACCAGTGAGTGAAATACCCATGAGTCCTTCATAGTCCTTCCATCCTTTGTATATACAAAGTTGATCTAAAATTTGATATAACCTTCCAGATATGGATGACCTGTTCTACAACCTCATGCACCCCTGCGTGCACCCCCCATCTCGCAGGCCCCCCAATCCATCCGATCCCCCAAGAAACACATTGACATCACGAATTCGATCTATTTGGTACATGTATACGATACTGTACCTTAAGCAAGCCTAGAAGATAGGACCGGCGCCCACCATTTTTGGGTCCGCCCCAGGAGGACCCACGCCCACGCCCTTCCCCCACGCCGCCGGGCGTGCGCCCAAACAACGTTCGACTCGTAGCGGGCTTTGATGGGATGCACGAGGTTCCGGTGCATGCGGCCTCGGGCTTCTTCGGTATCTTGGTGGTGGCCTTCTGCCGCCCCGACTGCAGTGCTCCTTGATGCGACCGAGTTCGCGTTGTTCGCGCGCGTGCACGCGATGGAGGACTCCGCGGCGTGAGGACCGCGTTTAGGACGCGTTGAAGGACTGCTGAGGAGTGCTCTTGGTTTGCCAAAGCTTTTTGAGGGGAATGGATTGGCATGAGGGGCATGCGGCATGATATATGAGAAGTTGATCCAAGAAAAGGATTGTGGGAAACAGATTGGTCAGCTGATCTCATTTGATTGGTCGGATTTGTCATGAGGTTGTACCTCACTGCGCTGAAAACAGTGTGTCGAAGAACCCTCCATTTCGCCATCATCCCATACTGTTTGCGAGTCAAATTTCAGAGATTTTGCTGGCCAATTAAAGGAGGTTGTGAGTGGTTTCCTTGCCGAAGGCGCCCTGTTTCCTCGATTGCTTGATATTATCTAGTAATATATATATAGGTCTACAGACAGGTCTGTTTGTGATTGGACTCAACAGTTGGGACTTTTTCATGACGAAGAAAGACTTCCTCTACCCCAAAGCCGTAAGCCTTGCTTGCAAGACGTGAATGAAAGCTCCCCCGCCTCTTCGGTTGTTCAGGCCGGCGATCTCATGCCGACCTTCACTCCCAAAAGATCTCATCAATCCCTCGAGATGCCAACAGAGGTTAAGTGACCTTGTAGGACCTGTGGGGTACCTATGGGATAGTCTATAGGGTTCTTCAACCTCTGGTGCTGCATGGATCAATTCTGACCCATTGATCTCTGAAACCAGCTCAAAACAGGCCGGATTCCGGTGGCCACCGACGGATCGAGCCAACCCGACTCGGGACTCAAGGCCCTGCGCGAGATCGGCTTGAGCGAGGCAGGAGTCTAGAGAGGAGCGCCTGTTGGACAGGAGTCTGGAGGGGTGTGTTTGTTGGACAGATTTAGAGTCAGGCAAGTAGTCAGGCCATTTTGGCAGTTCCAACACCGCAGATGCGCGACACGTGCAACGTCACTTCCACGGACACCACGGGGCATTTGCAAGGATCTGATGGTCTTGAGTCGAAGAACAATCATTTGGGAGAGCCTTTCAGACACTGATGCTCAACGCCTACGCCGTGATGTGCTGTCAATGCTGTCTGAGTCGTAACTTGCCTATAGCTATCGCTGCATGTTTTCTTCCAAGTAGTCCAGGTTGCTTCAAGAATTTGGCTGTAGCTTCAGACACAGGATCATATGTCCTTTCCATCAGAGCATCCGTGAGAAACTGGTGAATGGTCATACTTTGCAGCTAGCAATGTGCCAAATTCACCCAGCATGTTCTTATATGTTCTTATATACCGTTCTGTCAGAAGACAGAGCAACAAGAAGACCCCATAGAATGCTCTGCTATTTTCCGCATTAGACCCACGTGTTTTCTCTCAGCTTTCCAGTTCGACCGGCTTTTTCCAGAATGGAACATCTAGAGTAGAGGTAACTAACCAATGGACTTCACCCCTTAAAACTATTAGTGAGTTTGATGTACCAGCACCCTCCAACAGATCTCTTTTGGTGGCTTGTGGAGGAGACCTGGTAGAGGAGGGTGCTGGTAGATGTTCCGCTGACCGACTCCGCCAGGCCCAGCGCAGCTTCTGTGGTGCCTCACACGAAAAAGGGTACAGAACTCACCGGTGTGGAGTTCTTTTTCCCCAAAATTCTCATGAACCTTTGTTAGATGTCATTCATATATATATATATGTCATTATGTATGAATAAGAGACACTTCGAAGCAGAATCGATACGTATACAGAAATGAAACATCACATAAGAACCTTCCCCCGGGAACTCCCAAAGATTGAATCAGCAGCAGAACCAGTTGTTTTTTGATCCGAAAGGATGCGGAAAAGGGTATGAATATAGTGGTATGAATGTGTGGACAGAACTGACCAGTTCTTCCTTCTTTTTCCAGGTGTTGAGTCATGTTCAGTCTATATACCATTATGTACTGGGCTTTCTGACAAGCTTTCCGAAACGTGCGGGTCCTTGATGGGTCCTTGAGGTGGGCCAATCACCAGCTCTGGGGCACCAGCGGAAGATGTGAGCAACGAGAAAAAAGAACGCTATAGGGATTCTTCGAGTCTTCTTGTTGCTAGTAGCTTCTATATAGCTACTAATTATAATTAGTAGTAAGAATGCTCCTAGTAGCGATGCCAGGAGCCGTTAGTAGCGTCCTTGCTCCCAGTAATGTGGCCAGGAGCCCCTAGTAACCTAGCATCCGATCGCTCCGTTCGAGTCGCGATGCCAGGAGCCCCTAGCGAACGTAGCGTCCTCTTGCTACGTTCGTAGCTCGATGGGGATTCTTCCCTGGATCTCCGAAGTTTCCAAAGTCACACTCCCTGGATCTCCACTTCACCAGCGCGGTTGTCTTCCCCAGCCAACCCTTTGGGCCGCTCCTTCCCAAAGAGCCCCGGATCCGACGTCGCGTGGTGGGCGGCCGGGGGGGATGACAGCGCTGAGGAGAGGATCATCACATCGGAAAGCAACTCTTGGCCCAACTCTTGGGTGGCGCTGTGTCTTCGACAGCAGAGGGCTTGGAGGTGCCGGGGCGTTTGGTCGAGGCCACGGAGCGGCGACCACCTGAACCGCTGGTTCCGTGGTGATTTGCAGGTTGGGGCGATGGGGGGGGCCTTTCGTTGGTTTTGACCTGAACCCAACCCATTGGAGAAGGGCGCCGGATTCTTAGGGTGGATCCTGCCTGCGTACTCCTTTGTAGGGAGCTCTTTGCAGGGGATTTGGGCGCTTGGTTGATATAGTATTGTTTGTGCATGACCTTGAACATGACCTTGTCCAGAGACAAACAGAGATTGGAAACGAAGAAGTCTTGGCAAATGTCTTGGGTACCAAAAAGGCAGCTGACGGGGCTAGCTGATGAGTAAAGAGCTGGCAGACAGCTGATTATTTTTGACATTTATTCGTTCATTGTTCGTCATATGATTTGTGTGGAGTAGTGCGAATAGTATCCAGGCTAGATCAAGTCAGATTCAAAGACACCAGGCTATGGTCAGTGGAGATCTGAAGTCCTCCAATCCCAACAGCAAGTGAGTCACCAACTTGTTCTCGACCTGTTTATTCTTCCGCCCTTCCCAGGTCCCAACCCTCAACTAAAGACCTGAACTCCGGTCTTGGGACACCCGCCCCACACCCAGAGTCCGGTCACAACCCGAGCCGAGAAAGCAAACCGCACGACCACGGTCCCCCGCCACGGCCGATCTGGGACTGCCGGAGACCTCGAAAGTCCCATGGAGTGCTTCGAGATTCCCAGTGTCAGTCCCTATACCTTTATGATATCATCGATAATATTAAGTAATTTGACTATCTAGGGAAACCACTGCCAAGGGAACGGGCTTGAAAAACCATGTTTTGGGGGCCGACCCCGTGCGGAAGAAGAAAGCAATCAGCGAACACACCGTGGCTGGACGTTCTGTGCCGTTTTGAACAGCCAGCGCTGCTGCTTTCAGCGAGGTCATCATCGTTTGGACGTTCTTGATCTCCTACGCGTTTTGGCTGCTGCTGGCGGCCGCTGAGTGTGTGAAGTCCTTGGAGTTAGAGCGTCTTGGGAGCAGTTGACTTAAGAGTCGCTGGTATAGGTGTTGGACGGTGTTTTGTATTTTTTGCTTATATTGACTTATGCTTTCTTTCACCCATGGTTTTGAGCCATTGCCATTGGTGGGACATCATGAGCCAGGAGGGGTGCGCTGTCATCTCAGTATCTCGATGTGGCGGTACACCGCTGTCATCTCTTCTTTTTTTTCCATGTTGGATGGGGTTGGTATGTTTTGCGTACATCCTTTCACCCCGATCATCTCTGAGGTGTCCTCGACGTGTAGCACCTTCTTCCTTTTTTACCAACAAGATAACCGCTTCCTCGCATGACAACCCTCAGCCCGTCAGCCAATCCAACCCTCGACACTCGGTGATGGCAATATATGACAATAAGTTCATTGGCACCGGCAACGGGAGTTGTTCAGTCCCCAGACACGACCGGTCTGGGACTGGCATGTCTACGTATATCATTAAGGTGCTTTCGGGGTGTGAATATAGGCCACGATCTCACAGTTTCCGATCATATGTCAGTTCTGGTGTTTTTCATGCTATAAGTAGGCTATAAGTGTGCAAGTGACAAAAGGTGATGACCAAAAGTTTAGACGATTCTCGCTTCAGGATCATCACCCAGACACTCCATGGGACTGCCGTATATGCCTACATTGACCCCCCTGGCACCACCCCTGGCCGTTTCTCGGCAGTCTTATGGCAGTCCCAAACGGGTCGTGTTTGGGTCATGTCATGTTTGGAGACGAACATCCAGGCCGCCTGTGACTGAAACAGCCCGACCCCCAGGCAGGTGAATCGTGCTGAAAACCTGCTGCGTCAGTTGAAGCTCGGACGGATTTGGACTGGAAACAAGCATGGCAAACATGCAACTGACGCAAGACGTGACAGATGAGTTGGATGAAACATGTGGGTATGTTTGGATGTATTTAGGATATGGCTTCATATAGTAGGGACAAGTCGTTAATTATCGACTCTTAACATCAGAAATTTTACTGGTTTTTGAGCTTATGTACTAGTGAGTGACTGGGTATCAAGTTGTTTTGTGCAACCATGTTTGTTTCGTTGGCTGGGAGTTTGAAGTTCGAAATTGCCCAATTTCTGGGAGTCGTGTTGGCATGTTTCCAGTTTAAGAGCAACAGCATGGTAGCCAAACAACTAACCCAGCTTCAGTTTTGCTCGCCTTAAGAGGTCCAAAGATTAGGGGGCTCTTACCGTGGTTCGCAGCCAGGCCTCAGATTTACCCTAAGGATCCACATACCCTTGTGCAGGCTTGGAGGATCCAGTCGTCAGTTCTGAGAAGGTATGTGGATCCCTTCTGGCAGCGAAAGTAGATGGTGAAGACCGGCCTGCAGAGTCCTCCACCTTTTCCAACGTCATTCTTTTTCGTAACAAGAACGACCGCATGGGGTTCTTCCTCCTATCATATACCAGGACCTTCAGTTTGTGACCGGATTGGAGTCTGTACCTGGCCCTACAGGCCTAAGGACTGATCTATCGAAAGGACACTTTGAAGGTCGTACACACCACAGTACATCATATATAGACTCTTTAAACTTAAATAGATAGAGCTAGTGACAGCTGCAGCTGTGTCCAGTTGTTTTTCGGATTGTGCAATTGTGTTGATTAGAATGTCATTCATATCCTTCAACGAGCTCCTCACTGGAGCTCCTCACATGTCCTTCCAATCGACATGTGAAGCCTCTCTGGCGACCTGCAAAGATAGGTTCGTGAGGTGCTTCATCATCAAAGATCATCCGCTTCAACCATACGGCTGGCAAGCTGTGGGGTATGGATTGGTTTCACTTGAATTAGGAATTGAGAGGAATTCCGGAACACATAGCCAATGCCGTGAGCCTACTTTAAGCTGAACTAAACTCAACAAGCTTCAACGGGCAGGGGAGTTACCTGTGTGGCAATATATGACAAGCACCTTGAGAGCAACGGACGATCCAGTCCTGGCGTGAGACATCGCACCAGTGGCGATCGGAGGTGCCGGTGACGATCGGAGGACGTACATGGTCACAGAATCCACAGCCTTTGAGAAGTCTTTGGAGGATTACTGACTGGCGCGTCTTGCAGGGAATGAGGGAATGGATCCAATAGCATCTCTATTGGGGGCTCATTGCCTTATTCCCTACTAAGCACCAGTCAGGTTGAGGGGTCAAAACCGCCTTCTGAAGATGTGGGGATGGTTCGTGACCCACCTGGAGCTTGTCCTCGGTCGGCCGGAGTCTAGACGCCACTCTGACATGACCCAGACGCCATACACGGGCGCTTCCACCAGACCTTTGGAGAAGCCTCACCACCTGAAAAGAGGCCTCCTTTCTGATTGGTGACTGATTGTGATTGGCATCACGTCTGCCTGGCTGAATCTGAAAGCGGTAGACTGAGTACTCATCATCCTGGCCCGGGCCATCAATCGATGGTTTTTCAGCTTGCCATGTGCTTATCAACATCACCAGTTCATCTCCATGTTCATCCGTTGCAAAAAGCTTTGTAGTTTGACTGCCGAGGACCAGTCAGGGGTCATTGTCAAAGTGCAAGGTGCACCAGGATTTGGACTCTTGACGGCATTGGTTTGTTGTTCCTTTTTTTCGCGGAAGGAAACCATCCATGTCGACCATTTCCTTTTCGAAAGAGTCGGTTACGTGGATGGCAGGCATCATGCAGCACCCTTTTTGGTATCAGCATGACCGTCCGAAATTGGGGCCATGGTCCCATCCACATAACCATCCCAGACGCTCCATGTACATATGCCGCCCCATTGACCCCCCTGGCACCACCCCTATATATTGGCATACATGGAGCGTTTGGGCATGATGAGATTTCTGGGGAGTGTATCAGTGTATCTACTTGTCGAGATCGAGGTTTGAAGGGGACAAGAGGTGTGCACTGGACGAACGGTGAACTGCTTGGTGAACGGATTTCGGGGTTACTTGCCTTCCCCAAAATGTCGAAGTTGGAAAATAGGCACCGAAATGTCGCATGACGGAATCCCACCCAACATCCCAAGACTTGATTCCCTCAATGACTCACAGTGGCCGAACAAATTATCGCTGGAAGCTGACGACCTGTGATATGTGCTCTTGGTCCCATCAATCCCACCTCTCAGAAGAGACAAACCAAGCCCTAAGGCTTGGTTTGGCATGGTTTGGCTGGTGTTGTTTGGATTGGAATGAGTTTGGAATCCCCTTCGTTAAATGTCCGACTCCAATCCCCATCGTTTGGCTGGTTGAATCCACGGTCCAGTGGTGTTCTCGTGTTCTCATCCTTTCAGGTCCCACGACTCCACCCATGACTGCCACCCATGAATTTCATCGTCCTGCCAGCCATGCTTTCACCCACCCTGCTTCCACAGAACCAAGAGGAGCCGGCCTCACCGCACGGACACGGGTCCCGGCGGCTGGCGTCTTTTCTCTGCGTCCGTCGCACACCCATGAAAACGGTCGCACCTGGTGGGACACACCAAGACTTGAGGGTACGCAGGGTGAGTTTGGTCCACACCCAGACGAATGTCCTTTTCGATCCTTTCCGTCGCTGGTTTCCAGAGGGGACTGAGATTGTACCGGCGCCATAGAGTCTCGATATCCGTCGCGTGTGACGGGAAAGAAAGACGAGCGAACATCCGTCGCGTGGAGCGCCCGATGTGCCCGAGAAGAAGCCCAAGTCAGGCAGCCCATCGGGTTTGCACTCCTTTTTTGGGTTTGAATCCCAGCTTGTTAAACATACCACATGAATATCCTCGCGCTGGCATGACTGAGAAGGAAACCATGTGACTCCAAGGGGCATGAGACAAACCTGGAAACCCAACGAAGCAAATAAGTTTTCATTCCACCAACAACCACTTGTTATAATGCGGATCTCAATTCCCAGATTGGAACGGCCATTTGTTTCTGGGACTGGGTTTCCAGCCATTTTCATCCAAACCTCTCTGAATCATCCTCACCATCCTGCATGACAGAGGTGATTTTCTCGTTTTTCATGCGTCGAATCTCGTCCCAGGAATCAACGGCGCATTTGTCACGCACGGCCCCTTGGCCGTGTCGACACGTACCGTCACATAGAGACGCCTCTTTGCTGGTGAATTTGGATGGTTTTTAGGTCTCTCCAACAGTCCTCATGTTCATTGTGATTTGGATCAAGACAAAAGGGGAAGATCGGCACATGTCAAGGGAAGGACTGCTGAAATGTCAATCTGTTTCTTTCTTTTGACAGACGAAGAAGACTCGGACATGACAGACGAAGCCTTTTGCGCAACGGACCTGTTGAGGGAACGGGTTTTTATAGTGTTTTTAGTTTGACTGGCTGTTGTGTGGATCGTTGGCATTTTGGTTTTGGGAGTATAGTTGTATATACAGCTGAAGGCCTGCCATTTCAGTGGAGCGGGAGGCGCAACGGCACGCTGCAATATCATCCCACGAGCATCGAGCGATTGATCTTTCCTGCCAACCCATCATAGGCTCCAACCATCATCATTCTCAAGATGTTGTTTTTGGCGCAAGCTCCCTACGCTGAGCGTACGTAGAACATACCTGGAACTTCCTCAGAGTTTTTGTTTTTTCCGATCTGCTGCGGCGTGAAAACATCTTTTGGAGTCACAGCCTTATGTGAGTCTGCGGATGTTGCTTTAGTAATTTAGTTGTCTCTTTTATGATATTCCACGGGCGTTTATACACAATGATAAGGGCGTTTATTTGTGAGCCAAAGGCGTTTTTTCCCGAACATGTTTTTTGAGTGGATGCTTATTTCGGCTGCGGATGTTTATGTGGGTCACACACCCCAAAAAAGGTATGTTGAACCACCGCGACCAAACAAAAACAACCACGAGGTTGCAGGTATGTATAGAACTCTACAGGATGGCGTAGCTTTATATAGTCATACATAATTACTCTAAAAGGTCTTATAGCAGCTGTAAACTGTCCAGCTGAGCATGCCCATTTGCTCTAGTATGGGTGTTCAAAGACCCTGTTTTGGGTGCGCTATGCCATTGACTCCCTGTATAGCTCAGGTTCGCCGAGCATTGAAGGAGCACGGCTGGACGGGCACTGGCTTTTTGACCGGACAGCCACAAGATCTGGTAAGTCCTTTGGACAGCAAGGGACAGCAGGGCATGCGAAAAAAGGAAGTGAAAAGGGCATCGATTTCGAACTCCTCACTGGCGGCACACGCTAAGCGGACCTGTGTAAATGTTCGTTCAATCTCCGGCATATTGATTTCAACTTGCAATGCCAAACTGCCGTCGATGTTTTCCATCATTGGGCTGAAGGCAGGACATGCAAAGGAGACCATCTAATCTAGGGCAGCTCTCAGACGGTCTAAATCAAACAACAAAAATATGTTTGTGCCGTTCGCAGAATCCAGGTAGATGTTTGTTTCCGCTACAAGGCTCCACTATTGTTTGACTTTCGAGACATTTCGAGACCTATCCCCTCCTGGTAGGAAATTCTTGGACACGTTCGCAACGTTGCGAGGAGAGCACGCGTTTAAATCCTTTAGTGCTGCTGACATCGGCGCCCTTGGTCCTTTGGTTTCGGTATATTCAGAGAATCTTAAGATACTGAATCCAAATGCCTCGTACGTAGCCGATTGGGAAACATTTGGCTCGTGGTGGGAAGCCCGGCTTCCACTCGACTCGTCCAGAATTGAGTTCTAAGCCAGTACGCGTCATGAGTATCTCCAGACTCGACCCGAATCACTAAGAAGGTATACATCTCAAGCGCGCTGATTCTCACGACTTTAGCTTTAGCCGTCGCCTCTTTGTGCCTCCTACTTCGAACGTTCCACGCCAATCTCGAACGTTGCAAGGTCTCCTGACGAAGTTGCAACAAGCTCAATTTGGCTCGTTGGACACGGCCTTAGAACTCGAGGCTCGCGAACGGCCGGGTGTTCGCGAGAAGGTGATCGGGGAACGGCGAGGGGCAGACGGGACCCCTTCGCCCTGGGTCGAACCAATCCCAGACGCTCCATGGCACTGGAATATATGCCGATATATGCCGATCAAGCCAGACCCCCCTGGCACCACCACCCCTGGCCGTTTCTCGGCAGCCCCATGGAGCGTTTGGGTGGACCGGTCGGGCGAACCAAGTGTCGAACGCGGTGGGTGAAGTGGGATGTGCTGGATGTGTGGGACGTGATGTGGCGGTGTCGGCCGCTCAAGTGTGTGAATGATTGGCGCTGGATTTCATGTTGCCAAGAATGATCCATATGAGCCACGCTGAAAACCTCCCCCCGCGTAAGCTAAAACTGCGGTCGCGTAAGCTCTGCGTAAGCTTTGGCGTAAGCCAGACATTTCCAGGTTATGTCATATCGATGCTGCGTAAGCAAAGCCTGCAATGGCGTAAGGTGGCGTAAGCAGCGGCGTAAGCAACACCCCCGCGTAAGCTGAAACTGCGGTCGCGTAAGCGCTGCGTAAGTTTTCGCGTAAGGCAGTTCTTACGACATAGGAATCTATCAAGGTTTTCAGCATGGCTCATATGGATCCATATGGTCTATATAATTCATATAGTATACTGTTCTTCAGCTACTCACTGAATAGGTCTCAGCTCCCAAGCTCCCACGCGCCGTCCTTCACCTCCGGAGGCCTGTGGCCCCCCTTCGCCGCTGGGCGCGATGGACCGGGCGTGTGGCGTGTGGCGTGTATCGCTCAGAGCCCATGACCTGCGTCCAAGCCGTCGGTACAGGAGATGTCATATATCGCAAGAAGGCCAACTGAACCATCAATCAGACTGTTATATACCATGGGATATGCCCAAGACATTGGGTATATCCTTCCTCCAGTCACGGAAGTGGATGGCAGGGTCCTGCTTTGCGACCCCTTGATCAACAAAGAGGCTCCACAAAGACCCGCAGTTGGAGGGAGGGCACATTTCTTTCAAAGGGTCGTTTTGGGTGGGGTGATGAGTTCCAAACAAAGGTCAAGATGGTCAAGCAAGGAAAACCTAGTCAAACCGAGTGAAACCAGGTCGTCTTTGACCTCCTGATAAGTATTGTTCTTTTGTATGACCACTGTCCAGGTCCAGTCAATTGAGGTTTCTGAGCTGTTGGGTACATGTTGCATCATGTTGCATGTGTTTTGGATTTCTCTCAGACTGGTGCACTCCGAGGCCGGGTGCTTGGGTTTCTCAGTACCTTGAACCCTGGTGCCTTCACCAATTCGTCATGACTGGGGCCCCATGTTCCAAGGTACGAACGGGTCGACTCCATCGAACGGATCGACTGCACCCACGGCGCGCATGTTGCTATCACCCTCGCGCGAATGGTTGGAACAAACAGCGGACCTTCCTCACCACATCCAAAGCTGTTACCCTCCGGTCAATTCGACCCTCTGCGACCCTTCAGGATCGAACCTTACCAGTCTCATCCATTCAGAGACAAACCTCAACCCCCATCCGGGCTCCTGGCCCATATCCTCAGGTTCGGTGGTTAGACCCCGTGGCACCCACCCCAACCACCGAACCTCAGGAGGGGGCGGCCAGGAGCCCTAGGGAACATTCAGTGAAGCCCTTTCATCACCCCCCACCCTTGCAGGCCCCGTTCCGACCATGTCCTTCATCAAGGATTTGCGGGAAAGTAGATTAGGATCCTGCATGCTTCGGTAGACCCCATGCCGACCATGCTCGAGCTGGCTGTGGCCTTGGCTGACCAGACTTGGTGTCATTCGCGGCTCGAGGGTTTGACCCATCCCCAGCTCACTCAGGTTTCTTAGTGCGTTGCTGCCAACCCTGGTGGCTTTGTCGTGAGATGGCCGTCGCACGCTTGCGGATCCACCCCTGGGCTGCACCTTGGCCGGGTGGTGTGTGGAAAAGCGCGGCGGGAGGACCTCTGTTGTTCAAGGACATGAGGTTGAAGGACCCGACTTTTCGACTTTTCGGCGCGGTTGAGGCGACGGGTCCTAGTTCAGGTCACTTAAACAATATAACTAGCTTTTTTGAATCGGGTTCCTTTTGACAGTTTCTGTGCGACATCAAAGATCCGCGCATGTTTCCAGAGTTGTTTGGACATGTTCCACTATGGATTGGATGGACAGTATGGACCAGCCAGGTGGGGATGAAGAGATTCTGTGGTGAGATGGGAGATGATTCCTTGGAGCTTGTGGGTTCGTGTTGGAGTTTGGCCAGAAAGGTTTAGGCCCTGAAGAGGCATGCGTTTGACATTCTGGCACGTGTATAAGTGTGGGTCAATGAGGGACGCCTTCTCGGCCACTTTGTTCCTTCCAACTGGAGTTTGCCTTGCGTGAAGCTGCCAGATGAAATGAATCTTTTGAAGAGAAAGGCTAACCTATGGCCAACGCCATGCAACCAACATCTAAAGAGTATGTTTGGGTAGATACTGAACGGTTGTTGGTTGCTTCAGAGAAATCCACGCCATGCAACCAGCATCTAGCATCTATAGCATGAGCCATGCAGGGGGTTCAGAGGTGAGGTGACGTGAAGTCTTGCAAGATCAGCTTCTCCACCAAGGGAGTCAGGGGTGTTTTGTTGGTCTTCGAGTGCGGATCTCGGACAAGACCAGAAGTACCATAGAACTGCTGCACAGCTTTATGCTTTAGCCGTGCTGCTCACGTGCTTTGGCCGCTGTGTGTGTTTGTTTCCGGGAAGCTTGGAATAGAGATCAGTACAACACAGCTTCCTTTCTTTGGTGGGATGAGCTCACTCTCCCCCCTTTTGGACATCTCCCCTTTGTCACGCACCGCCCAGCACATACCCGCGCTCAGGAGATCTCTGGCCTGGGCGCGGCGGAGACCGATGGCGGCAAGCCACTTGGGCCGGAGGGATCGCCCAGTGGGATGGACTGGGTGCGGGGCACCTGGCGGAGGTTGAGAGGTGTTTTTTTTCTACACCACCCATGTGTAGCTCCGAAGACTGACCCCGGCCACGAATGCCCGACCCCGAAGGGTTTGGGAAGTTTGGGGTGCAGAACCGGACATAGACCGGTCGACCGACCCCGTCTCCAGCGAGTGGAGGTCTAGGTGAAGCTCCTGAAGGACCCAATCTAAGAATCCATCTCAAACGCTCCGGACTGGCAGGACGGACTGCGAGTTCCGGCCAGGGGGTGGTTTGAAGATGTTTTAAGGGGTCCATTGATCGGCAGTCCTATGGCAGTCCCATGGAGCGTAAGTATGTGCATATAGTAACTAGGAGGCCTCACTAGGCAAGTCTTCAGTTTTGAGGATGAGGCTTGGCTTTCGGGCCCCTTTTGATTTTCACGGGTCGAAGATGGTCGAAGCATTTTGACCCGTGGTCCATCCAAGTCGTGCTATGGTTCCTATGTTGTTCACCTTCAGGTGGTTTGTTGTTCAGATGCTTTAACCCAGGCACGACTAATGGGACTGCCATATATGCCTATATACATTGACCCCTCAAAACACCCCAATGTAGGCATATATGATATATGGCATACATGGAGTGTTTGGGTAAGATCTTTAAGGTTCAATGTCGTGAGCTTTCTAACCCGTGGTTCTGACGGTAAGGCTCCTTACAGTGACTGGGATGCACTGGGCTAGTTTTGATATGTTTTGATTTTACCAGATTTTGGAAACTTGCCTCTGAGATTTTGAATCCCTGATCCATGGTTGGACGATTTTTTGAGGAACCGCAGATAGGACTGACATCCTTTTGGAACTCTCTTTTTGAAGGATGGATCCTTTGCTGTCTAACAAGTTCTGCAAAGATGGAAAAAAATAGACATCCCTTGATCCCACAGGAACCCTCTCTAGCCATCTCCAACCATACCCCTCCCTCATCCCTTCTTCTTCCTAGTGGCCCTACGGAATACCACAGAACTAGGGAAATCATGGGAAGTCTACCCACACAACCCACAGCATCGCGATGGAACTGGAACTGATGAAAAGCCTGGTGTTGCTTACAGGGGGTTGTTGATTTCTCATCTATAATTTAGGGGTGAATCCCTCCAAACCCGGAGAAACGATCTTTATTTATGTCATGTTAATGTTTTGTCCCGGCTTCCGTCATGAATCCAAGTAAGTTAGATACTCCTAGAAACCACCCAATGCGGGCTCGACACCTGAAGAGGCTCTACATGGCTCTCCAGAGCGCCGCGGGGCAGCTGGCCGAGCTTCGACGCCAGAGCCGCGCCGAGCCGCTGCAGAGCGAAGTGCTGCACGGCCGTGAAAACGGGGGCGGCGAAGGGCGGCCGAAGGACGCCACCAACGCAGAAGGGCTTAGCGAAGTCGTGCACGAGCTCTGAAGAAATCACATATTACATCCAAACCTAAAACCAAACCGGATCGCCCCGCGGTTGGCGGATCTGGTTCCGGTGTGTTTTGTTTTCATGGGGGCAGGCGACGGTCGCACGGTTGAAGGAAGCCCAGCTCAGCACCTGAGCCTCAAAAGGACTGGGTAGTTTTTCAGTGAGTTCCAACTGGCCAAAGTTCAAACGTTCAAAAACGGATCCAAATGACTCTATAGGTGAACATTTGGAGCTTCAAACCCTCTACCACGTTGAACTTCTGTTCATTTGCCATGGTCAACCAGGATTGACCATTGACCCAGGTTTTGACCCTCGAGGCAAATCACTTTTGGCTGGAGCTGAGTGAGATTCATTGAAATTCCTAAATGGTTTGGATTTGATCAGGACTCAGACAAAACTCAGGAGGCACTCAGGACTCACGCCGTCCGATGCGCCTAGGCGTGAGCTCAGCATGTTAGTGAGGAGCCAGGACAGCGGAGACCGTTGCTCCGGCACCAAACTCCTGCTACTTGATCCCTTGTGGAAACGGGTCAGAAGGTGTAGAAATGCTTGGAACAATCACAGGTGAAACAAAACGGAATTGGCCCAAAACACCCTATGTTTTAGGATAGTCACTGCAGAGACCAGCCAAACATGAACTAGGATCAGGACTGTTCTCAGTAGCTGAAAATTCGGCCAAAGCAGAAGTTCATGAAGGGTATCTCCTTTGCATTGGGTTGCTGAAAGTTCCCTCCCTACTTGTTGTGTTGCTTTGATCGAGACTGTCCGTGAGAGCATGAAAGTCACTGGTGTTTCACTGACTTTCCCAATCGTGCTTGAACAGAACAGAGCCTTTTGGGTTAAGCTGTAGAACATCTTCTACAAGCAGAAACGGTGAGCAATCAACCGTGAGGTTTTGGAGGAATATATATATATATATAGGTTTGAGATGCTCCTGATTAAGAATGAAGGACACATAGCTTCTCAATTAATCTAAGTAAGATAATTCAGACGAAGTCTTTCCGGACACAGAGCAATGGTTCTTTGGCTTCCCACAAACAGTTTCGGGGCGCCGATGCCTTTCATCAATCTTTGGGAACTGCCGCTTCCCAGACCATCCATGAGTCGACACACACGAGGTCAACATTTGGCCATCCAATGGATGTGAAAAAGGCTTTGGATCTCGTTTTCTCCCATCGCATGGTCGTCGCATGTGGAGGATATCCTCTTGCGGCGATTGATCAGCCGAAGATATTCCAACCTTTCATCAAGGCACGGGATGTGTCCTGGGTTGATGAACGTCGCAATACCATGGGATAGATGCCATCGCCGCCAGGTATTCACAACGGTATATGGTGTTTCTTTAATGTTTTCCAACATCAAGCTTTCGGACAAATTCCACACTTCTCTCAGATGGGTCGCCTGCGTGTCGGATACCGGTGCTGATCTGTTGTTCATTCCCGGACCTGAGACATATATACGTGCGTTGGGTCGGAGGCCAATCCTGATTCTGGGATGTCTTCCTTCATCTCCGGTTAAAAGGGTGTGTAAAAAAAAATCATCAGGGAGATTGATCAGTTTCACCCCTTGGAAGAAGGACAAGAGACCCTATATCGAATTGTTGGGGATTCATTTCTTCAATCTCCCTGGCTTCCTATTGGACGAATCTGTCCTAGTTTTTGTTGGCGAAAAGCAGACGTACGGACTCGTCGTCTTTGCCGGGTGGATGAAAATACGGGAGCCACCGGGGGAAGGTGAAGGGAAGCCTGCGAGACGCTTTCAGACCCGCCGTTTTCATCCAGTTCAATGGCTGTTCCTTAGACAGTTCCTTAGACGTGGGTTCGACTGTTGTGCCAATGGCTGTGGGTTCCAAGCGTCCGGCAACTTGTGGGGCAGTGCTTTGCAGCACTTGCTGGGACCAGCTTAGATACCTCCGTTTTTGGTGTGTTTTCAAGGCAGATCAGTGACCAAGAATTGCTGTGGCATTTGTCAGCATCAATGAAGAGCAACATGATGATTGCCACATCTTCGGCCATGGTCAAAATGGTCTGACTGGTCAAGAAGGTTCGCTTGGAATTGTCCTTAGAAGGTCAGAGGAATCACCAATTGTTCTCCAGCCAAGAATAGCAAGTAATAAGAATATATAAGAATTATGATTCATCAACTATGGCCATGATAGTATAGGGTGTGTCCGATTACCTGCAACAGTCGGAAAAAAGAGTATCACTATATGATTTGAACTAAGGTCTTTACTATAGCCATATGATCTAGCCATCATCCACTGTGAAAAAGGGAATGGGATATACCTAAGCCATGACTATAGCCATCATCTTCCTGCAGGTCCTTCAGGTCTCCACCGATCCACACCGTCCACACCGTCGGACCCAGGCGCTTGCGACACATCCCAGAGCAAGCGAGTCTTCGACCGGCCGGGCTTCGACCGTCTCGGGCGAATCGACGGCGCGGAGCGCGTTCGACGCACTTGACTTCCTTTTTTCTTCAGTTCGTGACCTTTTGAAGGTTCCTAAGCGACCCTACTCGTGGCTTGGCGCTTCAAACATCCTGCCCACAGACATGCAAGGGCCTAAGGGCATTGTAGTCACGAATGTTGGGGAGCTACAACTGGTTGATAGAGCCCTCAGGAGCCTGGGGTTTCACCCATTTTGAATTCTTAATTCTTAGCATCAAAAACGCTTTGACGGCCTCACCAAGCTGGCTTCACCAAGCTTGTCAGAGTCCTGCAGCATCTTAAAGGGTTA